CAGCAGAGGAAGACACACAGGAAGTAAACGCTAAAGGGAACACGGTATGGGCTCTGTAGTGTTTAAAGAATAGTTCATCGTATATACAAAATTAACAGACTTGGGTCAAGTTCTCTCATGTCTGAGGTATGTATTTTCTAAACTTTTGCACTCTTCGTCCTTAAATCTTTGAAACTAAATCAATAAAGAAGCACTCCAGCACAGGAGAGCAGAGAGGCTCTTTCTTGACTTAGGCTGTTTTAAACTGTCAAAATAAAGCCTTTACACCAGATCTTCCCTTACAGTACCTGCGCAGCACAGCACAGTAATATAACATGTCACTTTGACAGGTGCTGAGTGAATTAAAAACATCCTCTCTGCTGAGAACCCTGTCTGAGATGGAAACCCCCGCCAGATGTACTACAACCTCACTTTGCACGCATGATCAAACACCTACATCTGGGTGCTGAGGGCTTCTCTGCTCTTCCCCACAGATGCTAAATGATATCGTTAACATTTTAATGCAAGAGACATTTACACGCGGGCTTGCGCAATTACACCTCTGATTCAGTGGAATCCAGACAGACACAGTGTGATCGGTAATTAGATTTTACATTGGGTGAAACACGGCACACACACACGTACACACACACCAGTCACCAAAGCTGGCTCCTAATTAGAGAGCCAGACAGGCTCGAGGAGGTACGGTACAGTAGAGTAGCCCTCATTATACAGCTGGGATGTATGAACTAGGGGATATCTATTATGATCACACATCAGGGTTTCCATTACCCAACATTAGCAGCCCTTTCAACTGGAGTCACACACTGAGTCCAGCCCGTAACCCAACAAACCCTCTCACAACTCACACAAGTGAGCAACAGTTAAGTGGGTTTGTAAACTTCATTAGATATTCATATCAGAGTGAGACTGCATGAGAGGATCTATCACTTGACTGTGCGCTACGTGTTTCATGGGCTAATTTAATTTCATGAGCTGTGATACCTCTTCTGCAACCAAACCATAATTGGTAATTAGTAAACACACTAATAGCAGTGAGTGCAGCGTATGGCCAGGGTTGGAAGGGTGAATGTATTGCGTTACAATTACTTATTACCTGTACAAAAAAATGTAATCAGTAAGATAAACTGAGTATCAAAATATAAAAGTGATGTACGACATTACTTTAAGTTACTTTTGGATTATTTAAAAATCAAATGCAATGCATATAAAGACAATTGAAAATAAATATGAATACCTAAGTGTATTATGTAAGAAAAGAGAAAAATATAAACCTTTTTAGAGAAACCCACTTTTTATTTAAGAGGACATATTCTGCTCCTGTTCAGGTTCATATTTGTATTTTGTGTCTCTGTGACATGTCTCCATGCCGTTATGTTCAAAAAGCTCTTTATTGTTCTCATACTGCCTGTGCTGCAGCTCCTCTTTTCACCCTCTGTCTGAAACCAGAGCCCATTCGGCTCTGATTGGTTAGCTGACCGGCTCTGTGGTGATTGGTCAACCGCTTAGATGTCCCGCCCCTTAGCCTATCAGGTACAATGTGTTGGAGCACCAGCCAATAGAAGTGCAAGTGTAACATAGTTATGTCACTACTTTCCGGAAGTAAACAAAGTAGTCCAATTGAGCCTTTAGACTGAGAGTATTAGCAAACAATCTAAAGGAAAATCTGAGCAAACTGAAAATGCTCCGATTTAGTTTGCCACATACAGTATAAAATTTCGACGCAGTGAAATAACTATCTGAAGTAGAGGCCGAGGCTAGAGGCCCAAATAAGAGAAATGTAACAGTAATCTGATTACGTTTTTTTTTATGTAACTAAGGAAATTACTTTTTTTGTATCCTTATTAATCTGTTACATGTAATCCACTACTCCCCATGCCTGTGTACGACTGGTCAAGTTTCCCTTTTTTTTGTTTTTCATAGTGACTGTGACCGCTGATCTTTGGACATTTCGACACCGGGTTCAGAATCACCTCACAGCTCCAACAAATGGGTCTCTCATCAGTGCCTTCATGTAGATTTATTGCGATGCAAAAATCCCCCAATCTACTTTTGCAGCCAAATTCAATCCATCTATCCTCCCCACCGGCTCCCTGTAGCATCTTGATCCAGTGTTCCAGGTTAGTAATAATGTGGGGTCATGTAAAACTGGCAGGCTAACTGATGTTGGCAGCTATTTACTGTACTGTAAGCTACACTGGGCGAGATGCTTTGGAAGAGCTTCCTTATTTCAAAGTTGATCTGCCTTTACCCCGTGTAATGTCACGGCTAATTGAGAGCAAAATTTGATTGCGTGATCCCCTGACCTCTGCGTAAATGTTCATTTATTCGAGATGTCCGAGATAAGCCCCTTTTAAGTCTCGAGAATCAGGTTGAGCCGTGTGTACGTCTTACAAATCATCGCAGTGTTTGTGCAAGGAGCCTCGTCTTGTTATGTCTTTGCAATGAGGATTTGAATAGGGCCAGTTTGGCTCGCTGTGGTTTTGCCTCGAGGCATCTTTCAGGGAGAAATATTTAATATGTTTCCTCTCCTGTACTGATGAATGAATTTATGGATCATACTGTGATAGGCACAGGAAATAGCAAAAGTCTTAAAAAATGACTAAGGAGGACTTTGATTTTAATTTGATTGCTTATGATAAATCAATTTCCATGATGACAGCAATTACAATGTGACATTTTGTGAACACTGTGCAGATTTTTATCCATTTTCCCTTCTATTCAATCGATCGCTGGGGTCATTCAGATGACACGTGCAGTAAAATGACCACAATGCAATGTGGATAAGAAGCCCTCTTATCACCTATGCACACACTGATGTAACAGAAGCTGATTAGCTTCTTATCAAGTACTTATGGGTCAACGCCGTTTTAAGCCACACTCCCAAATCCATCTCCCAAAACATTCCCATTATTTCCCTGCCGTCTGCCATTTTGTAGTGCCGTGTGATATGTCTTGGAAGCATAATAATAAAACCAATCAGAGCAGACAAAACGCATTTGAATCGTGTTTCATTTTTTGACAACACATAGTTTTTTCTACCCCCATATATAGAGTGAAGGTTTTCGGACGCAGCCCCTGACACCCATTGAGGGGGTTACCATAGAGACAGACCAGTGAGCATGTGATAGGCCCAACTCTGAAACAGCGAGAATTGTCTGGAATCCAATTGCTTTGCTGGTTTCCATCCACAAGGTCATTCATTCATTCATTCATTCATTCTGACACCGCCTGCTCGATACACCTTCATTTTCATGACAATCAACAAAAACCCCCATCCGCAGAGGACAAAGTCTTATAGCAGGGATCGAAGGGGAATCAAATGTAAAATCCTCCATGATAGCGGCGCGAAAACACACACAAAGTGTAACGTCTGCACCCAACGTCGTCTTGCTGCTTAATCCCTATCAGTTGTTTTTCCACAGGCCTCCTCCATAATCCCTTATGCAATAAACGGACACAATCTTGCATGGCAGTTGATCTAATGTCAGAGGCAGATGATTATGATTAATGAGGATTCCTTATTGTTCCTTTATGAGTTTCAGCACAAGCTGGGCTGAGGGAGATACCATTTTATATGGAGTCAGTGTCAATAAACCGTAGCGACGACACAGAAACAAAAATCCATTTCCAAAGCGTTATTTTATCACGCCAGCCAGAAGGGGGAAATCCATTTTGGGGATATCATTTCTAAATGTGTTTATACCTGTAAATCTCCAAATTTTTGCTTTGTGAATTCAGCTTTTTTCACACGAATGCAGCCGACCGCAGGGCTTGATTTTGGTTTCAGTGTACGTGAACAATCCCCATCTTGTCACCCTGATGTGTTTTCTCGCAGACGTTTCCATTTTCTTTCCTTCTCCCTCTCCATCTTCGACTCTCCCTTTTTTTTCTTTTCTTGCCTTGTTTTCGTACACACCCAGTCAGCCATAATCCCTCCCTGTTAGAAGGGGCTCTGACCAATAAGTGAATGCAATAAACTGTATCAATTTTCTGCTATTGATTATAGATACGAGCACACAGATTTACGTGCACGGTGTTAGCCGCATGCATGTGTGCACTATACTCGCTCAAAAACGTACATGGAATACAAGGCGAACAAGCAAATGGGTGTTTTTGAATACGGCATTTGAATGGAGAACGAGACTTTGGGCTATTTGAATGGAAAATGTGTGCCACATTATTTATTTTTTTTTAAATGTGACCTCTGTGGAATGTGTCTCATAATCAACATTACATTTTTGTATTACTTACAAGAACAATTTGTACTAATGGTGCTGAATCACTGAAGGTAAATTACATAAAGCTGTATAAATTGGAGACGAAATTGCATGTCGAGATTTTGGGAACACTGAACGACCCATAATTTAAAAAATGTTTTGCATCACACGTATTCATAATGAAAATATGTATTAGATATGGGTAAATATTTTTCATTTTAATGAATTATAATAGTTTAGGCCACTTTAAACTTGAAACATATGCTAACTGTGGGGGAGGGGGGAAGGGGTTAAACAAAATATCCATTATATAAAATACGTCACTTATTACTAAGGGCCAAGGTGGAGCAGAATAAGTATCATTAGGCATCAAATAAAAACAAATTGCATTAATGAGATCAACACATTTAAAACTTAAACTTCAATCCTCAAATCAAATCAATAAAATAAATGTAATTCATTTTTTTTTAAAGGCCCAAACATACATCATTTATGCTTTTTATTTCATCTGGCTCAGGATCTAACTGAAGGCCATGTGATGTGTGTTGGTGTGTGTGCGTGTGTGTGTGTTTTAGGAGAGATTGTAAACGCAAAATATGCCTCGCCCGTGTCTCTCCCTATGTGAAGGGTGTCAGCCTTTTTGACAAGCATATACAATCCATTTCATGTGGGTCACAGGTGACCTCCACCCTGCCTCACTTACTTAGCCGCTGATTTACCTCATGCAATAGGTAATGAGCACTAATAATAAAACAAAAAAAATGAGCGGAAGAAACTTACCATTCAAGATGCTCTGGAAAAAGATAAAAGCCAATATCCACATGCCCTGCTCCGTTCAATCCCCCCAAGCTATGCTTTCTCTTCTTCCTCCGACCGGTGCCTCCCTGGGTTTCTCTTCTGTGCGCTTGGGGTAAGGTTAAACATTTGCCACTGTCTTGATGCAAACCGGTCCAAGTATCTACTTTTAATATCTCCTTCCTTACTTTTTCGTTACGCTGAGGTTTTTTCTTCCTCTGCGCCCTCTCTTTGCGCTCGGATCATAAATGCGCGTGTGTGATTGTCTTGGGGAGAGCTGTGCTCACTCTCCTCCTCTGCTCCGCGTCTTGCTGCTTATTCAAAAGGATGCTGAATGGGTGAAGCCCAGGTGTGTGTGTGTGTGTGTGTGTGTGTGTGTGTGTGTGTGTGTGTGTGTGTGTGTGTGTGTGTGTGTGTGTGTGTGTGTGTGTGTAGCTGAGTCAGAGCAGGGTGCGAGCCAGAGCGGGTGCGAGCGAAACAAAAACTGCAAAAAAAACTATTTCTTAAAAAAGCTCCGATTTCTTAAATAATAAAAGACTGACTGACGGATCATCCTTTGAGAGGAAAAAATAATATATTGAAAAGAAATTAAATAACTAAAAGAAGCAAACAAGGGGGAGAGGGTGGTTGAATAAGAATGAAAAGCAGGTTTTTTTCTGAGACTCCAAAGTCAGATCATCTTCATCGCCTCTGAGCGTCCAGCAAGAGGCGAGCAAGCGCATCTTCCCCGCTGCATGCCGCTCTCTAATCGCACCTCCCTGACTCTCTGAGCATTACACAGAATAACCCTCTGCCTGCCCCTGCAGACGCTTTAATTCCTCATTGCCTTAAAGGAGCAGAGGCGGATACCGGCCGGTCCTGAGGGCAAGCAACTGCTGGGGGTGAGCGCGCACAGAGATGGGGCATTTGCATTAAGGAAATGAGCAGCACCTGACGCACCGAGGCACCTAGGATAACATTTTTACGCACGGAGATGTTCCGTCTGTGGGTGTTGCAGGTGCACTCCGCACTAAAGAGCAGAGCTGACTTGAATGAAACCAATAGAGTATTTCTCCTACGGATACAAAAAAAACAACAGAGCAGAGTCCCCTGTAGGAATGGAAATGTACAAGGACATCCAATGACGCATGGTTTTTTATTTAATTTGAAACCCACTTTTAAGTTGATTTGACAATGGTGTGAATAGGATATTGAAAGAAAAAAACATTTTGTCAGTGGTTGTAGCAGGGTAAAACATCCCCCACCCCTAAAGGCGCACACACACACACACACACACACACACACACACACACACACACACACACACCATACCGCCCCCCCTCAACCCCATAATCCACCACCACCCCTCCATTTTAATGCCTGCCTTGAAGTCAAGGGTGTAGCAGTAGGCAGTGGGAGCCTGTGGGCCTGTCCACATGCAGAGCCCGGGCACACTGACTGTGATATAACCAGCAGGGGAGTCTGCATCTCGTTCTCTATTCCACGTGACAGAATTCAAAGTGAAATCCAGTTTATTTACCCCAGGATATTCATTTTCATCGCTATTATATCTGGACTGGAGAGGATTCTGCAATTCTTAGCGTGCATGTGCAAAAGGAAAAACAATTCATGGTGTTTGGTTTGGATCACTCTGCCTTCTTTTTTAATCAAGGGGATATACATACTCCATGCTGATGTCCATGTATCAAGTGTATGTTGTGTAAACAAATTAATTAGCAGCAATGCTCTGCATTTCCTGCAACAGAACACACTGTTTATACTTCAGGTTGTATTCTGCAATTAAATTCTATCATCACAGTTGTCCTCTTCTTGAACTATTGTGTCCCAAACATTTGTGTTTAATTGAGTAAGAGGATCATTTTTACTTACCCTAAGCCGTAAGATAAACCCAAACAAGTTGAAGTCGGTGTAATGTGAGGAGAAAACACGGGTGAATCAGGGCAGTGGGTCAGAGATCCTGCCCGTCATTTAGAGTGGATTAGGAGCACTGTGCTTGGGATTCAGCCTCAGATTCTTGGCATGGGTGGGAGAGTAAGTTCATTAGCAGCAGCAGACTGTGAGATATGATCACTTGAGAGGGGAGAGGATGCAATAGCATGGCGGCAGGTTTATCAGACCTTTGATGCACATTCTGATTTCCAGCACTGCAGTTTTATTCACCTTATGCTTCGCCTGCTCAAGGGCGCTTCCACGTTGCCTTCTTTTGTGTAGGTACTTACTGTGAGAGCGTCATTTCTATGATTTTGAATCACGTCGCCAGCTTTTTCTAACTTTACTTGCCAAAGAAAATGTTTATAAGCTTTAAAATAAAGTACGTTTTTATAAGTAATAACACAAATGAAGCGAGAAAGCAATAATTTAGAACACCAGTATGAGATTTGTTTATTCAAATAACGCACATTTCGTAATATTTGGCAATGTTTGGAGCAGTGAGAAGCTTTATAAGAGCTAAGTCAGTCAGCTAAGAAAAAGCATGTCAAAAATGTGCTTATAATTACTCTCACAGGATAGTTTATTAAAGGTGGGGTAGGTAAGTTTGAGAAACCGGCTCGAGATAAACTTTTTGTTATATTCCATGGAATGCTCTTAACATCCCGATAGGAATGAATATCTTAAATGCTTTGACAAAAAATCCATAAAGAAATGTCATCTGTGGAAGCCGTGGTACTGTAAAAAGCACGACCAATCATCTGAGCCGGCCCGGCTAAAGTAACTGGATGGCCTACCTGCCTGTCAGCCTTCCATCTGTGCACAAACTTATCTCGTGCCCTCATTGGTCATGTGCGCGTTCGTGTGTGTTGGAGGAGGGGCTCTGTAAGGAAGTGGCAGATTTTTTCCGGTTGTGTATTTTCAAATTCTAGCGCACTCGAGCTGGTTTCTCCAAAATGACCTACCCCACCTATAATGTGCACTGTCCCTATTAAATCAACTTATAAATAAATGATAGATGGCTAACGTAATTTAGCTAACAAGTTTGTTAGATAGCAAATGTTAGCTTTAAAAAATAGATAGCTAACGTTCGCTAGCTAAGTAGCACACTCACAGGTTAATTGAGTCGGGTCTCTAGGTCAGCTTGTTTTGTGAACAATGTGGACCTTTGTCCAGCTTTCTGGCCGTGAGAGCAACAGTCCACATAAGCTTTAGTATTTAGTCCAACCGAACACATTTTTTGGTATATAAAAATGACTAAATCCATGTTTAGGCTATAGAGTGCTTTAGAGAAGGTATTCAACCACACCAGGTGAGACTAGAAATAGGAGTTTTCTTTGGTTAAGCCTTTAGCAATTTTACATGGTAGACTTGTTTGGTAATGAAGGTTAAATTAACATCAAGCAAAGACAAATAAAACCAAAGAGGAAGGAAGAAAGTTCTGACTGTTGGCTCAAGAGATTGGGAGAGGGGATCCGTGGAATTAGAGGAAGCCATCTGACATTTTAGGGGAAATTAAGCATTGGTGTAATCTAGCTCAGCAAACAGGGTTTTATGCGGGAGAAGAAATGGAGGAAATGCAAATAATAAGGTTATATTTGTGTGTGTGGGACTTGGAAACTAATGCTACCACAGATGGAACAATCTAACATGCTGTCATTTTAGCAGAAAAGAGGAGCAATGGCACATATAGTCCAGGGTAACATTACCAGAGTGGGATACATAGTGTGTGTGTACAGTATACACGCTCACATCAGTACACACACACACACACACACACACACACACACACACA